GTGCATCCATGTTGCTGCAAATGCCATGAGTTCATTCTTTTTTGAAGCTGCAGAGTATTCTATGGTGTACATGTGCCACATTTTCTTTATTCAGTCCACGTTTGACAGGTGCCTACCTTTGACAGATTCCATGTTCTTGCTATGGTGAATAGCACTGCAATGAACATGCGAGTTCATGTGTCTTTTTGGTAGAATGATTTATTTTTCTTTGGATATACACCCAGCAATGGGATTGCTGGGTTGAATGGTAGATCTGTTTCAAGTTTTTTGAGAAATCTCCAAACTGTTCTGCAAACTGTTCACAGAGGCTGAACTAATTTACATCCCCATCAACAGAGTATGTGTTCCTTTTTCTCCACAGCCTAGCCAACATCTGTTATTTTTTGGCTTTTTAATAATAGCCATTCTGACTGGTGTGAGATAGTATCTCACTGTGGTTTTGATTTGCATTCCTCTGATGATTAGTGATGATGAGAATTGTTTTCATACAATTGTTGGCCACTTGGACATGTCTTCTTCTGGGAAGTGTCTGTTCTTGTCCTTTGTCCATCTTTTTTTTTTTTTTTTTTTTTGAGACGGAGTCTCACTCTGTGGCCCAGACTGGAGTGTAGTGGTGCAATCTTGGCTCACTGCAAGCTCCGCCTCCCGGGTTCACGCCATTCTCCTGCCTCAGCCTCCCGAGTAGCTGGGACTACAGGCGCCCGCCACCACGCCCGGCTAGTTTTTTGTATTTTATTTTATTTTTAGTAGAGACGGGGTTTCACTGTGTTAGCCAGGATGGTCTGGATTTCCTGACCTCGTGATTCGCCTGCCTCGGCCTACCAAAGTGCTGGGATTACAGGCGTGAGCCACCGCGCCCAGACTTTGTCCATCTTTTAATGCAGTTATTTGTGTTGTTCTTATTGACTTGTTTAAGTTCCTTGTAGATTTTGGATATAAGACCTTTGTTGGATGCGTAGCGTGCAATATCATCTCACCTTCTATAGGTTGTCTGTTTACTCTGTTGATAGTTTCTTCTGCTAGGCAGAAGCTCCTTATTTAGGTCCCTCTTGTCAATTTTTATTTTTGTTGCAATTACTTTTGGGGACTTAAACCAAAAATCCTTTGCCAAGACTGATGTCAAGAAGGGTATTTCCTAGATTTTATTCTGAAATTTTGATAGTTTGAGGTCTTACTGTAAATCTTTTGTTTTTAATTCCATTTATATATTGAATAGGGAATCCTTTTCCCATTGCTTGTTTTCTTTGGCTTTGTGGAAGATTAAATGATTGTAGGTATATGGCTTTATTTCTCTGTTCTCTAATCTGTTCCATTGGTCTGTCTGTTTTTGTACTGTTACCATTATCATTTTGGTTACTGTAGCATTATAGGGTAGATGGAAGTTGAGTAATGTAATGCCTCTGTCTTTGTTCTTTTTGCTTTGGTAATTTGGGCTCTTTTTTGGTTCCATATGAATTTTAGGATAGTTTTGTCTAATTACGTGAAAAATAATGATGGGAGTTTGATAGGGATAGTGTTGAATCTTTAGACTGCTTTTGACAGTATTGCCATTTTAACAATATTAATTCTTTCAATTCATGAGCATGGAATGGTTTTTCATTTATTTGTGTTTACTCTGATTTCTTTCAGCAGTGTTTTGTAGTTATCCTTGTAGAGATCTTTCACTCTCATACCATTTACCATGGACACAAAAAAGTTAAATACCCAGGAACCCATCTAACCAAGGAAGTGAAAGATTGATCAGTTCCAGGAGTCTTTCGGCAGAGTCTTTAGGATTTTCTAGGTATAGAATCATATTGTCAGCAAAGAGAGATACTTTGACTTCCTTTTTTCTTACTTCATCATCTTTTATTTTTTCTCTTGCCTGATTAGTGTGGCTAGGACTTCCAATACTATGTTGACTAAGAGTGGTAAGAGGGGCACTGTTTTCCTGTTCCAGTTCTCAAGAGAAATGCTTTCAGTTTTTACCTGTTCAATATGATGTTGGCTGTGGGTTTGTCATAGGTGGCTGTTATTAATTTGAGGCATGTTTCTTTAGTGCCTAGTTTGTTAAAGGTTTTATTATGAAGGGATATTGGACTTTATCAAAAGTTTTTTCCGTGTCTATTGAGATGATCATATGGCTTTTGTTTTTAATTATGTTTATGTGGTGAATCATGTTTATTAATTTGCATATGTTGAATAAATCTTGCATCCCAGGAATGAAACCTATTTGATTCTGCTGAATTAACTTTTTGATGTAGTACTGGTTTTGGTTTGCTAGCATTTTGTTGAGAATTTTCACATCTAGATGCATGAGCAATATTGGCCTGTAGTTTTCTTTTTTCTTTGTGTCTTTACCATGTTTTTGTTTCGGGGTGAGGCTGGCTTTTATAGCATGAGTTAGGAAGGAGTCCGTCTTCCTCAATATTTTGGAATAATTTCAGCAGGATTGGTACAAGTTCTTCTTTGTACATGTGGTACAATTTGGCTGTGAATCCTTCTTGCCTAGGACTTTTTTTGGTTGGTAGAATCTTAATGACTGATTTAATTTTTTCTTGACTGAATCTTGGAAGATTGTGTGCTTCCAGGAATTCAAGCACTTTCTCTAGATTTTCTAGTTTATGTGCATAGAAATGTTTATAATAGTCTCTGAGCATCTTTTTTATTTCTGTGGTATCATTTGTAATGCTGCCTTTGTCATTTTTCATTGTGCTTATCTGGAACTTCTCTTTATTTCTTTGTTAATTTAGCTAGCAGTCTACACATCTTGTTGTTGTTTTTTTTCAAAGAATCAACTTTTGGCTTTATTTATCCTTTGTATGGATTTTTGTGTCTTAATTTTATTTAGTTCTGCTCTGATTTTAGTTATTTATTTTCTTTGCTAGCTTTGGAGCTAGTTTGTCCTTTTTCTAGTTTCTCTACGTATGATGTTAGATTGTTAATTTAAGATCTTTCTTATTTTCTGACGTTGGCATTTAGAGCTATAAACTTTTCTCTTATCATGGATTTTGCTGCATCCCAGAGATTTTTGTATGTTGTGTCTCTGTTTTCATTTATTTTAAATAATTTTTTTGATGTCTGCCTTAATTTCATGGTTTATCTAACATCATCCAGGAGCAAGTTGTTTAATTTCCATGTAATTGTGTGATTTTGAGAGATCTCCTTAGTATTGATTTCCATTTTTATTTCACTGTTGTCTAAGAGTATTGTTGGTATAATTTCAAATTTTTAAAAAATTTATTGAGACTTGCTTTATGGCCAATGAGAAGAATGTATATTCTGTGGTGGATGAGTGAAGTATTCTATAAAATTCTGTCGGATCCAATTGGTCAAGTTTAAGTCCAGAATTTCTTTTTCTTTCTTTCTTTTTTTTTTTTTTTTTTTTTGAGATGGAGTCTGTCACCAGGATGGAGTGCAGTGGCACAATCTTGGCTCACTGCAATCTCTGCTCACTGCAATCTCTGTCTCTCAGGTTCAAGTGATTCCCCTGCCTCAGCCTCCCAAGTAGCTGGGACTACAGGCATGCACCACCACACCTGGCTATTTTTTTTGTATTTTAGTAGAGACAGGGTTTCACCATGTTTGCCAGGATGGTCTCAATCTCCTGACCTCATGATCCGCCCACCTCAGCCTCCCAAAGTGCTGGGATTACAGGCGTGAGCCACCGCGCTCAGCCCTAAGTCCAGAATTTCTTCGTTAGTTTTCTGCCTTGATGATCTTCCTAATATAGTCAGCGGGGTGGTGAAGTCCCCCACTATTTAAGCTCCTTTATAGCTCATATATCTGAATGTATTACTTACCCACGAGTTGGTTTGTGATGTCAAGAAAGAAAGCAGCTTTGTAGCCCAGATATGGCAGAGGTTGTGAATGCAAACTCCTCATCACACAATATGGAGCCTGAATATTTAGTAAAAGAAATAGATGAGAACAAGAACTTGTTGATAAGAAAATCTTCCAGGAAGGCCAAGATATCTGTTTGGAGTTTCAAGCTTTTATTGATGACAGAGTTTGGGACATAAATATTGAGAACTGGGCTTTACATCAATGCATCTCTCTGACTTATCTAAGAAGTACTGTCTGATTGATGTAGGCTTCAATGACCAATCTGAATGGAGAACAAGCTGCCCTCCAGCTTTAACATTTCTTATGGTGATTCATTGATTTTTTCATGTGCAAAGTGACTCTTATGGTGAAGTGAGAACTTGGCAGGGAAGAAAAATTAAGTGTCTTTACAAGGGATCTGTGGAGATAAGTGAAGATCACTTAAATGAGAAAAGCAAAGGCAATTTATTCAGAGCTTGCTATACCAAAGGAGTCAGCTACCATCCTTTGTGTTTGGCAGAGACTTAAAGATAGGCAGAGGAGTAGGGAAGCTTTAGAGTGGAAGAAGCTTCAGGTGTGCCCTGGTTGGAGGCTGTCTTGCATAGGGAAGATATAAGCAGGCTCACCAAAAAGTGAGGTATCCTATGCAATTGGTTAGATGTGCATATTTAGCTTTCTCGGGTCCTTCCTACATTGAATAAATCTCAGAAAATTATGCCATGTGAGAGAAGTCATACACAAAAGCCACTACCTACTGTATTATTCCATTTATATGAAATGTACAGAATAGGAAAATCCATAGAGACTGAAAATAGGTTGGTGGCTGCCAGGGGCTGGGAGGAGGGTGGGCAAGGTAACTGCTTAATGGTCATGTGGTTTCCTTTTGAGATGTTAAAAAGTTTTTGAAACTACACAGAGATAAAAGCTGCACAACATTGTGAATACATTAAATAACACTTACTTGTTCACTTTAAAAGACTGAACTGTGTAGCAGGTAAATTAATTGAAATAAAACTATTATTTATATTAAAATTGATAAAAATCTAAAGATCAGAGAATCATAGTTTAACTTCAGATTATTACATCAAGTTTTGTGTATTTAATTGCTTCTATGTGGAGACAGTGTCAATTTAGAAGACCTCTTAATGCGAAAACATTCCTCAGTCTCAAGATAAAACTTGTGGTTAGAGCCCCAGCTATAGAGTTTGGGTACTGGTTGCAGGTGCCTGTTGTGCACTGTGTCTCACAGCACAGAGGTAGGTGGCTGAGTCAGTAGGCTGAGAAGCTGTAATGTATAAAGTACTACGTCCTGATGATTTATCCAGCGAGGCATTAAGTCTTCCACTTGTTTGCTCTCTCTGACTTGACTGAATTAACAACAGAGATGTGAGACCTTTCCCAGGGTCCTGCCTAAACCACTGGAGGTTGTAAATAGCGCTATCAGTGAAACTGCAGTTGAGAACCAAGTTGTCTCCTTCTGGAACACTCAGAGCTGCAGGAATCTGTGTCACCTCCTGTTTACTGCTCACCCCTATTCAGAAAAAGAGCAAGAGACTGGTTAGTGGCTAATGATTCCTCAGAAATTACTTTTAAATTTATTTTTTCAATTTCCACAGAAACTCCCAGCAAATCATACAGGCATAACAACTCCCTTTCTTTCTCCCTCTTTCCTGAGAGAAATGTCCTGGAGTCGGCCTGTTCTTCGCTCATTTCCACTTCCCACTAACTCACATTGCAACCGCAGCCAAAGGATGAGCAGGCCCAAGAGGGTCTCCATTCCTTCTGTCACGTAGACCCACTGAAAATCGAAATCTTATGTCTGAAATATGGAGAATGACTCACAAGATAAACGCTCTGCTTTGTATCTCATATGTTCAAACATTTCTACAGGAAACAGAGTTGGCCCAGCCAATCTGAGACAAGTCTCTCTCTTTCTCTCTCTCTCTGTCTCTCCCTCTCTGTCTCTCCTCTCTCTCTCTGCTTGCTCTCTCTCTCTCTCTCTCTCTCTCACACACACACACACACAAACACACACACACAGAGATCTGCAAACTGTGGGAGGTGGAAATGGAATGAAAGGAATGAAAACACTGTCACTTCAGGACCAAGCACAGTACCGCTAGAGAAATGCTTCTTTCTCCTCCACTTTCACCTCCTCCTCCTTCTCCTAAAGAAACAAAAATGTCTGAATATCAGATTTGTAGAATGCAGCCAAATCAGTGCATAGAGAGAAATATATATTCTTAAATGCTTATATTAGAAATGAGAAAATATATAAATGTTTTCCATACTGTTACAGCAACTTTCTCCAGATTCCTATGACTGCTGTCTCTTCTTGTCACTTCAGTGCTTAAGGACTGGTTTCCTGTAACTCGTATTTTTGTGAAAAGGCCCTTTCTATCATCTCTTACTTGTCAAATTGCAAAGAGAGTTCAGAATCATAATATTAGTATTCAGTTTTGTTGGTAATGTCAGGAAATGGAAGCTCTGATATTCTGATAACTGAAATATAATTAATAAATGTCTACCTATGTTGTTTACATATTATTGAATGCAAAATTTCCATTTGGCCGGGAATTTTTCTTAAGAGATACTCTTATAAATACACTTATAGCATTGTATGTTGCATGCAATGGTTAAAAAATGTGGAAAAAATTTAAATATTCTTTCCATATAGATAGTCAATACATTATGGTAGATCTGTATTGTGAGTTACTATACTTGCAAAAAAGTACAAGGTGGGTTACATTTTCTGAGTTGCAAAAGCTTCTCTCTCTTATTCAATCAAATCACAGCATTTTACATATAGTGTGATCCTATTTATGATTTTTAAAAGTATGTTTATTGTGAGTTTGTATTTAAATGTATAGAAACAGTGGAAGTGTGATGAAACTTTTAACAGTGATTAGGAACTCGTCAGGAGCAAATCAATGAAGTATCACGTTTTATTCCATATTGCCTAGATACTTAAATAATTATATCTTAATTTGCAAAGTGATTCATCATAAAAATGGAATACAGGTGCATAGAAAACTAAGGAAATGTTGAAATAAAAATATTAATATAATGATTTCATGTTAGCAAACTTTCAAGATTCATTTATTTTTCAATGCATTGTGCTACAGTTGAAAAAAATTGAGAGAGCCCAGACATTTCTCAGAAAAATAATGCTCAATTTATGAACTTGACACTGGACCTTTACCAAGAATGAAAATGTTAGTTTGGGGAAAGATCCAGGATCTTCTCTCTCCCTGTCTTGTCTTTACTGGTGCAGTTCTTGATTTCATGTACCTTTTCCTTATTTTTCCCCTTTCCTTCTTCTCATTTCATTTTCTACCTTTGTCCATTAATCTCACATTTTCTTGTGCAATGCCCTCTTTAAATGGAGGTTATCTCCCCTCTTCACCAGGGAGACAAGTGTGGTCCAATCTGCCCACAATGTAGTAACACATGGTGGTGCCTTTGAGGGTTATCTGGTGCAGGACCAGGGTACTAGACTTATTGTCCACAGGGATGGGCAGTGATATGGTTTGGGTCTGTGCCCCCCCGCAAATCTCATTTCAAATTGTAATCCCCAATGTTGGAGGTCAGGCCTGGTGGGAGGTGTTTGGATCATGGGGGTGAATTTTCCCTTTGGTGCTTTTCTTGTGATGGTGAGTGCGTTCTTGTGAGATCTGGTCATTTAAAAGTGTGTGGCACTTTCCCTGTCCTCTCTCTCTTCCTCCTACTCCAACCATGTGAAGTGCTGGCTCTGCCTTCAACTTCCGCCGTAAGTGAGAGTTTCGTGAGGCCTCGCCAGAAGCCAGACAGATGCCAACAACATGTTTTCTGTACAGTGGTCAGAACCGTGAGCAAATGAAACCTCTTTCCTTTGTAAATTACTCCATCTCAAGTGTTTCTTTATTGCAATGCAAGAACAGACTAATACAGGCAGTGAAGTCATTTGATTGATCATCTCGTTCTTTAAACCTCCAATCAGCTACTGTGGGCAATGGTTATCAAACTGTTGATACCAGAGATTGTGTCCTCATTTCCTCCAGTGATAGAGTGGGAACAGGGGATATTCACTTCTTGTTTCAGCACTGCCCTATTCTTGTGACTTTAACATTACACATAATCCCTGAGGAGAAAAACGAGATTATCTCCAGACCCTCAAATAAAGGCAGATTTTTAAGATCAAGGTACAAGGGGGCTTCAAAAAGTTTATAGAAATATGGAATTAAAAAGTAACAATTAAAAAATATAAACTTTATTTCTCAACGTAAGCTCCAATAAATTCAAGACACTTTTTTTTAGCAGAAATAGTTAGCCTTGGCTAACTTTCTCAAAACACTCTAATAATAAGTAGATGTTGTCAATGCAGGTTTTTTTAAAATATTAATTGAAGAAAAAATAAGTGCCCATTAAAGATTTTTTTGAGATTAGGAAACAAAAATAAGTCAGAAGAAAACAAGTCAGTATTGTGAGATGGAGGCCTAATGATTTCCCGTTGAAACTCTCACAAAATTGCCCTTGTTTGGTAAGAGGAATGAGCAGGAACATTGTCGTGGTGAAGAACTCTCTGGTGAGCTTTTCCTGGGCATATTTCTGCTAAAGCCTTGGCTAACTTTCTTAAAACACTCTAATAATAAGTAGATGTTGTCATTCTTCACCTCTCCAGAAAGTCAAGAAGCAACAAGCCTTCAGCAAAAAAACAAAAACAAAAAAACAAAACAACAAAAAACAAACAAAAAAAACCTGTTGCTACAACATTTGCTCTTGACCAGTCCACTTTTGCTTTGACTGGACCACTTCCACTTCTTGGCAGTCACTGCTTTGATTGTACTTTGTACTCAGTATTATACTGGTGAAGCCGTGTTCATTTTCTGTTAAAATCCTTTGAAGAAATGCTTTAGGATCTTGATCCCACTTGTTTAAAATTCCATTGAAATATCTGCTTTTGTCTGCAGCTGATATGGGTGCAACAATTTTGGCACCCACTGAGTGGAAAATTTGCTCAACTTTAATTCTCAAGTCGGAATTATGTAAGCTGAACAAGTTGAGGTGTCTATGGTGTTGGCTATTGTTTCTGCTGCTAATCGTTAGTTCTCTTCAATCAGGGCATGAACAAGATGAATTTTTTCCTCACAATCAATGTGTATGGTCTGCCGCTGCGTGCTTCATTTTCAACATCATCTTGTCCTTCGTAAAATGAGTTATTCATTTGTAAACTACTAATTTCTTTGGGGAATTGCCCCCATAAACTTTTCAATGATTTCACCATTCTTCAACCCCAGCTTTACCTTAAATTTAGTGCTTGGTTTTGTTTCAATATTGGCAGAATTCACGTTGCTCTGATAGGAGCTCTTTCCAAACTGTTTTGTCCTTCATCCTTCTTAGTGCCTCAAATTCGATACTGTGCACAATGCCATAACAAGTTAGCAGGAGTTTATTTTGATGCAAAAATTTAAAAGTTATGCATAAGTTTTTTGTAATATGCATTTTTCATGAACTTGTTGAAGACCCCCGGTATAGTACTGAGAAGTAATTTTATCTATGACTCCTTTCCCCTAGAAAGAGCCAAATATGACTAGAGTTATGTAGACTCACTAGTTAAGAGACAGGACTCCCTGGATCTGTCTCTTATTTTCCCTCGAATCAGTAATATAGGAAATTCTATAGCAAAGTAAACTCTTCTGTGAGCTTTCACTGAGGGTTATAAGCTAAAATTTGTCCCTCTAAAATTTATATGTTGAACTCCTAACCCCAAGTACTTCAGAATGTGACCTTACTTGGAGTTGGGTTCAAGATTATTTCTTGTTTATAGAGGTATCTAAGTAAAATGAGGTGGGCTCTAATGCAATATAAAGGGAGAAATTTGGACACAGATATACATAGAGGGAAGATGATATGAAGACACAGGGGTTTGATGGCCATCTACAAGCCAAAGAGAGAAACCTGAAACAGATCCTCCTTTCCTTTATTCTGTTGGCATCTTGACTTCAGACATTGCCTCCAGAACCATGAGACAATAAATTTCTGATTTTTAAGTCCCCAGCCTGTGGCACAAACTAATACACTGGGTATGATGTAGCCCCTCACACTGAGGATGTAACCTCCTCAAAAAGTAAACAGCTGTTATCTGATCAGTTGCCCTTAGCATCTTGGGTGAAGGAGAGTAAGACAGTGCAGGCAGCAGGTTTCTCTTCTGATTTCTTGGTTTAGAACACCATCCTTTCTTAGGCCTAAAACTCTTACCCAGGGTAAGAGTCAGACAGTCAACTCTGTCATGAGCTTCTTTATATTCAGGAAAACCCCACCAAGGCTTATACCATCATAAGAAGATGGAGAAAGCCCATCTAAATAACAATAAAGAGCAAATGAGACTCAGATGCAGAGAGTAATGTGTCCAAAGTGACCAGAAAAGTATAATCAGAGCCTGATCAGGAAGCCATGTCTCCAGATGCCCGAAATGCCTCTAGATATCATCTGTCTCTAGGAGAGCATTTATAGACTGCATGTCTTGGTACAAAGGAAACAAGAGACTTGGGATCACACTCATCCTTACACCCCGGAAACCCTATGCCTGACCCACTCTTCCCCATTCTCCACGTGTGTGCCTGGTGGTGACACACACTAAGAATTGACATGCAGAGAAGAGAAAAGAGAAAAGAAAGGAGGGGACTGTAAGAAGGAAGGGAGCAGCCTAGAAGACTTTTTCACATTATCTTCTCAAGTTTAAGAGAAATGAAATAGATTGAGAAAAAAACAGTATCTTCCCCACCAAAAATATCTACTTTTCTCTATTCCAAAAACTTGAGAAAAATAGACCAATTCAACTTGAAAGTTGTATAGCTACTTCCTGTCTCCATCTTTCTATATTGTCCTATTTTGAGCAGAAACAAAACTTTTCATAATGGATTGAGACAAGGCCAGGAATTATTGAATGTTGG